GCCTGCTAATACAGGGAAACAGGTTTGATCCCTGGTCCAGGAAGATTCCCACATGCCTCAGAGCAACTAAGCCCATGTGCCACAGTTACTGGAGCCCAGCCCGCGCCCAGAACCCATGCTCCAAAACAAGAAAAACCCCACACACCACAACGAATTGTAGCCCCCACTCACCACAACTAGAGAAAGCCCAAAACGAAAACCCAGCACCGGCATAAATAAATAAATCTTAAAAAGAAAAAAAAAGTGTAATGTGAACTTGATGTCCATACAATGTAAAAAGTAACATAGGTCAACAGCACAGAGAGTGACTGCTGGGAGGGAGAGGGCTGGGGATGCCAGTGCAATGGGGTATGAAGACTGACTATTCGAGCTGAGGCTTCAGTAAGGAAAAGAGGGCCAACTGCCCACATCTGGCTGGGGAAGAGCAGTTTGGGCAGAGGGGCCAGCAGGTGCAAAGCTGCTGAGACGGGGACATGGTGGACACGTATGAGGGGTAAGACAAGGCAGTGTGGTAGATGCTGGTCACAAGACCCCATAGAGACCTGCTGGGGATTTGAGTGGGGCTCTGGGTGAGCTCAGGAGCAGAAGGGCTTTAAGCAAGGGGTCCTCCTGAAGATCACTGTGCAAGGAGCAGGGACTGGAAAGGGGCAGGAGAGGCCTCCCTCCCACTGCCACCTGGTGACCTCCTTCCCATCCTTCCAATGCCAACCCAACGGGCACATCCCCAGTCAGATCATAATACCAGCTTCCCTTTATCGCATCTAGCTCTGAGGTAATCTCATGTGTGCCTCTGGTCATTTGATTAATGTCTTTCTTCTCCGCTAGACTCTTTGCTCCTTGGGGTCAGGTGCACATCTGCCTCATTCGTCCTCACGTATTTATGTCATTTGGTGGCACCGAGTCTTGGTTGTAGCATGCAAGATCTCTAGTTGCTGCATGCAAGCTCTTAGTTGTGACGTGTGGGATCTAGCTCCCTGACCAGGGTTTGAACTCGGGTCCCCTACATTGGGAGCACAGAGTCTTCACCACTGGACCACCAGGGAAGTCCTTGCCTCTGCTCAACTTAAAGCCCCAGCGTCCTGCAGGGAGCCTGGCGTGCAGTGTGTGCTCAATGGATATGAACACAACAAGACCCTGGGGCAGATCCCTAGGGCCTCAGCCCATTTTCAACTTCCTCAAGAGATGGCTCCCCGCTTCTGCTTCCTCCCTCCCCTATGCCCTGACACTTTTCATCTGCCTCTTCTGTAGAACCCAGCACGACTGCAAATATCTGTGGTGCTGTCACACACACACACACACACACACACACACACACACACACACATGTGCACACATGCATACCCACTAGACTGAGCTCCAGAGGGCAGGGCATGTGTGTAGTTCCTCACTGTATGCCTAGGATCTCCTCAAATCATGTGATGCCATTGTACATGCAAAGAAGTACCTCACCCATTTGAACCTCCACCTACTCAAAGACTTCCCACTTGAGCTTGATAAAAACTCTGTGCCCTGAAGTTAGGGTCAAACCCCTCTTCCCTCTCCCAGTTGAGCAGCCTCACCCACAGACCTACCAGCAGCAGGGGCCCCTGTCCTCCCCTGGACCCACAGTCCCAGAATTGCTCACACAAACAGGGATGAGGCCTATTTGCAAAGATACTATGGCTGTATTTTGCAAACCAAAAATTGCATACACAGACTAAGGCTTAAACCTGGGGACAAAACACTGGAATGTCTGACCTCTGATCTGGTCCAGAAAGTTGGAAAAATGTGGTCCCTATTTTTAGGGTCAACCACTTCCTTCTATTACAGGACAGTGCCCATGGTCCCTAGTGCTGTTAGATCCCACTTAATTAATCAGCATACTCCTGAAATAAATATGATAAAAATAATTTTGTTAAATATATATACATATATATATTCCAGATGCTCTGCAAAAGTCATATATTAAAGAAATTCCCTTTGGAGAATAAAAAAGTACTATATTTTTGGAGGGCAATTTGCATTAAAAGCCTTAAAATGGGCACGCACCAAGGCCTAGTGATTATATTTCTGAGATATGATTCAAGTTTTAAAGGGCTATGGCAAAATTGAGCTACAAGAATATTTGTCACACAGCTCTGCTTGTAAAAGTATATCATTCAAAATAACCCAAATGTCCAACAGGGAGCAGGTAATTAAAATAGTTATGGTGCACCCATACAATGAGACATACTGCATCCAAAACCCTAATAATCATAGCACTTATTGAGCATTTACTCTGTGCAAAAGATCACCTTAAAAGCTTTACATGCACCATCTCATTTAATTCTCATCAAGCTATAGGTACCCTTGTCATTCCCATCTCACAGATGAGAGAATCAGTACCTAAAAGGGTTAGGTTACAAGTCAAGGTCACACAGCTAGTAGCTAGGACTCACACCCAGGCAGTCTGACTCCAGACACCAAGCTCTTAGCCATTATACTATATGGCCTCAAACAATACCATTAAAAGAGATATTGTAGAAGCAAGACCAGTCACATGGGACAATGCTGATGATGTAATGATAGGTAAAACAAGACAGTTATTATATAGGACATGCAAGCTGATCCCACTGATGCACATTCATGGTAAGCAAAACAGAAGGGTTTGCAAAGATAACACTGTAGCATCTTGGTGTTGATTGCTGAGTGGATGGAATTATGTGTGTATTTTTTATGTTTTCTTAGGCTTGTGTTTTCTGATTTTTCCATAACAAACATGCTAATTTTGTATTTTTAAAATTAAAAAAAATTAACATAAATGACAAAAATCACTCCCTTGCACTTCTCCTTTGCATAAACCCAAGTGCCCATCTGTTGGCCTTGCTTTAAGTATAGAGACCACTGCTTGCATAGGATTCAGGACATGGCCTGAAACCCATTCACAGGCTCTGCTGGCTCTTCATAGCTCAGCTTCCCCACCAGCCAGCCAAGGCTCTCTCGGGAGGAAGAGACGGCAGAGACTCTCCCCATCCTACCCCTCAGCAGCCTGCTCCTCCCATCCCCCCAGGATCCTCTCTGGCACTTGTGCTCCCAGGGAGCCGCTGAACTGACAGCCCAGAGCTACAGGAGCTGCCAGAGCCTGGCCGCTTCTGCCCTGGCTCCAGCTCCGGTCTGGAAGCCAAGTCCAAGGACCCTCGGAGTCTGAGACACTCTGTTTTCTGTTGCCGGGTCTTTCAAGGAAATGCTTTGCCAAGTGAAGAGCACACAGGCCTGGACGAAGCCAAATGGCCCAGGGACAGGAGCCCCAGGTCTGCAGCCACACTACCAGGGCCCCTCCTGGCCTCACCTGCTTCCTGGCTATGTGATCTTGGGAAAGTCATTTCTTCTCTCTGTGTGGGTACTCAATTGCTTCAGTCGTGTCCAACTCTTTGTGACCCCACGGACCATAGCCCACCAGGCTCCTCTGTCCATGGGATTCTCCAGGCAAGAATACTGGAGTGGGTTGTCGTGCCCTCCTCCAGGGAATCTTTTGGACTCAGGGACTGAAACTTCAAAGCTTATATCTTCTGAATTGGCAGGTAGGTTCTTTACCACTAGCGCCACCTGGGAGGTCCTTCTCTCTGAGCCTGTTCCAATGATACCCATCAAGTAAAGAAATTAAAATACCAACTTGGAAAGAAACTTGTAAAAAAAAATGGAATTTTATGTGTGTGTATATATATATACACACACATAGACATACATCAACACAACTGAAATGACTTACAGCACAGCACATACACACGCATATACACATGTATATACACACACATATATACTATATATAAGTATACATAATATATCATAGATATACATAAAATAATGATGCCAATAGGTAACATTTCCTGGGCACTAACTACTGGTCAGGTACTCAAACACTTTCCAGCTCTGATCTTACAGAATTCTCACAGCTGCACTGTGACTCCTCTCACCCTATAGACGATGAGAGTGGCTTAGAGTGGTTACGTCACCACAGGTAAGTCATAGAGCTGGAATTTCTGTCATCACGCCTAGGTCCACACCACACCATACATCCTGGCACCATGTCCACAGCATGGACTTCGTCCAGATGGCTATCACCGTCATGTCTCCCAGCCCAGCCACCACCTAAGTTTTGAGACTGATGTGACAGTGGAACCTGTGATGGCCTGTGGAACCACATACTTTTAGAAGCCTTCCTTTCAGAGTAACCAAGCATCTCACACACGTTCTTTGAGCCAGCTCCAGGATCACAGGACACGGCTGCACTGCTGTACATCCTTACCGCAACCACTCTCCAAACCTGGCCTGTGCTCTGGCCACGAGGGCTGCTGGCCCAATAGAGACAGCTCATGCCCTAGAGTCAGGCCTGCTGGCACTCACACCTGGCACCTGCCCCAAATCCCTTTCAGGTCTCCTCGGAAAATCTGGGCCTCGGGCCTGGGTCTCCCCGCGCGGCTCACGACAGCAGGCCAGAGGGAACCATGCGAATCAGAAAAGCCCGTGCCTTTAAGCAGCCTCTCTCCACCGTCAAGTGGCGCCGGGCACTGGCTCTGTGTGCCTGCCAGACCCTGGGTGTGCAAGTGTGTGAAGGAGAGAATGTGTGACAGCAAGAAGGTAGCGGACGTGAGCTTTGGAGGAGCGAGTGCGCGCGTGGCTCCGAGTGTGCGCTGCTGCGATCGCGGTCCGGGGCGGGCGGCGGGCGGGGAGGTCTCCTCCCCCCGCCGCGTTGAGAAATCTCAGTGAGTCACCGAGTGGTTCTGCATATTAATGAGCTCGCTCGCAGCGAGGGCAGGAGCGGATTTAAAAGAGGCCTGGGCGGGAGGAGGGAGGCTGTGGAGAGAGCCCAGAGCCGAGCGCACAGCGCAGAGCGCTGCCATAGCCCCGAAGCTCCCACCGACGGGCGCAGCGGGAGTGAGCGGAGCCGGGAGGCGCGCTCCAGGCAGAAAGAGCCGAGCACGGCGTACAGACGCGCGGGCGCCCTCCCCGAAAACCTGCTCGCGCCGCGCCTCTCGGCCAGCATGAGACTCCTGACCGCCGCGCTGCTCCTGCTGCTCCTGGCGCTGTGCGCCGCGCGCGTGGACGGTGAGTGCCTGGGAGGTCCCTGGGCGCCGGCCCGGCCCGTCCAGGGGAACCCCCAGCGCCAACTGCTAAGCGTCCCGGGATCCCCGGAGGCTCTGGGCGGGCACCTAGGGTGGTCAGTGAGTTGCGACGGAGACCCCGAGTGCAAGTGAGCGATCCTCCGCGCGCTCTCTCTCTCTTTCAGGGTCCAAATGCAAGTGCTCTCGAAAGGGACCCAAGATCCGCTACAGCGACGTGAAGAAGCTGGAAATGAAGCCAAAGTACCCGCACTGCGAGGAGAAGATGGTTATGTGAGTTCTCGCTCTTCGCCGTGAGCCTGTGCGCGCTGCTCTTAAACCCGGTGCTGGGGCACAACTTGGGGCTGGGTCAGCCTAACAAACCTTTCTCTCAGCCTTTGTCAAGGCCTTGGCGAGGCTTTGCAATTGCCCAGCGAGTCCTTAGGACGCTGGCATGGCAGTCTGGAAGAGTTTGAAAAAAGGGTCACAGTACTGTGCTCTGGAAACAGCCTCTTCCCTGAGTTCACCCTTGCTAGGTTTCCGACGGATAGCCTAGGTGTGGCACAGCCTACCTTTCTAGGGCAATCCTGGGTTAAATGGTTTCCCTGTGCCAACTTAGAACAACCAGATTGAAGTCACTCAAAATACACCCAGAACTATTAAACTTGAGCCCAAACTGTGAGGCGTGCTGCCTTCCTGTTACTGGGGAGAAGATTAAAACAAACATTGTCTGAAGTCCTAGGAACCTCCTTTCAGGGCTTTTTTCTGGATGGGGGACTATGGCCATCTGGTTTTTGGCTTCCAGCGATTTCTCAGTCTTCCGACACCAGCTGGACTTCTGCAGGTTCCTGTGGAAAGGGCTCTGCTGGGGTTAACATGCCATGAGGCTGGAGCGCTGCTTGGTGGGGATGCAGAGAATATTTTAAAAAGTGGGGCAGAGCAAGAGAACACTGAGTTTCCTTGCTCCTCTGCCTTCCCAATTAACCACTTGAGGCCAACACCACTGTTTCCCCATCAATACGCTCTTGGCCAGGAAGTGAACCCTTGGCAAACCTGCTACCAAATATCTGCCACGGACCATTGGCCCCTCTTCCCCTCCCCCAGAAACAGGACACACTTTATTCTCAGTCTGGGCAAGTGCCTTCCATTCACTGGCCCTGCTGGCCCGAAGGCCTCCAAGCAGTGTCTGCACGGCAGCTCCCACCCGGCTACCCCCTCCCACTGCCACCTGGGGGCTGCACAGTGGGGCTGAAGTTAGGGGAGTTCAGAAAACACTGGGCCTGAGCTGAATACCTCTGCCTTCTTTCCTGGGTACCTAAAGTGACTCCTGTCCCCGCCCCTTACCTTGCAGACCAAGGTCCAGAAAAACTGCCAGAAAAGGGTGGGGGGCCGGAGGTCACACAGTTGAGGGAAGAGCTACAAGCCCCTTGGGGTTTTCAGCTCTCTCAGGCTGAAAATGACAGGGACATGGCAAATTAACTTTGCATTCCTCACAGTGCTAAAGGATGCCCCACACACCAAGCTGAGCTACTGAGTCCTCACAGGAGAAATGGAATAGGATATAAGGTGTAGTGATACCTCTAAAGGACAGAACCTGCCATCAACAGGCTTGCTCTTTTCCATGGCTACACTTTTCAGAACAGAAAGGAAACTGACAGCCAGGCAAGTGTGTGAGAAGACTTTATGTAGCCCTGTGAAGAGTTGCAGGGGTCTCAGGAGACCCTTGCACACAGTGACCCTCTTCTAAACCTCCACCTCACACCCAGGACCCAAGCCTGGTCCCTGAAGAGCTGGAGGTCTTCCCTCTTAAGCTCCTAAGGCTCTTCAGACTGCACGAGGGACCAGCGTTTTTGGCCAGAACAGGTTTTTAGCCCCAAAGCTGAACTAAAGGAAGTTTTCCAGCTTACCCTGTGTCATCTAGACATCTCTGATGAGGCTCAGGGTGCAGCCTGCTTTGCAAGAGTGGGAGTCCTTGCACTTAGAAGGATCCAGGAGAGTCAAGATTCTAGAAAGGGCAATCTGTTTCACGTACCCCCTGAGCTCTTGCTGAAACCCTCAGTGTCCCAGAACGGCTAAGGACAGGGGCACAGGACCCAGAATTTCTGCATAATTGCTGGGGGCAGAAATCCTCATGTCTTCACCCCACAATTAAGTTTCCAAGTCCCTGTGTTATGACTGAGCATCTGAGCTCCATGGGGTCCTCCGCTGCTGCCCCGATCTTCAGGATTTGGGATCCTCAGCCTGCACACTGACCTAACTGAGGAGAGGGGTTTTATCTGGCTTGGCCACAGCCTTTTATTCCAACTGCAAAAGCAGCATTGTAGGCAGAGAGAAACACACAGGCTAAATTCCTGTGGAGTGACCAGGTACTATGGGGGAGGGAACTGGACTCCACTCCACAGCAGTGCCCCATGCTTGAGATCTGGCACTAGGGACCCAGGCAGTCCCAGGTCTCATAGAGGGGGCTGGCGACGGCAGAACCCAGTCACCTGGCATTAGCACAAGGCCTGTCCCTGCCCTGGGAGGCTGAGGCCATGGTGAGGGCCCTGGAAACTTCAGAGCACAGGGAAGGGAAGAGAACAGGCTGCCCAGAAATACTCTGTCCCCACTGAGTTATCACGACTTGATTACCTCTCCCAGTCAACTGGCAGACCCAGAGTTCATGGCAACCCTGATCTTTTCTAGAACCTGGCCCAGGCACCCTGACATTTCAGTAAGGAACCCACGGAGTGCTAGCGGACCTCACTCCCTCCCTTCCCACTCCTCCCACCCGAACCTCCAACCACCTCTCTCTGTCCCCTCCGCCTGCACCCCAGCACCCAGTTCACCACCATACCTCCCTCCTGCGTGCAACCTCCCGGGGAGTGACATCCTCACCTCTTACCTTCCCCTCTTCCATGTTCACTAGCTGGTCCCTCATTCTTGAACACCATCCTTCCTCCCCTACCCGAACTCCTGCCACCCTGGCCCAGTCCTGGCTGAGAAGGACACGGCAGTTCTGGGCAGCAGCCTTTCCTGCCCTCCCCCGCTCCCAGGCTGTACCTCACACCTTAAGGCTTTTCCTTGGGCATCCTGTCTTCCATGACAATTGCTAATAACAGTTACTGTTCATTGTGCTAGGCAATTTACATAGATTATATCTTTAATCATCTCAATAACTCTAAGAGGTAGGTACTATCATTATACCCATCTTATGGATGAGCAAACTGGTTCAAAGAGGCTCCCACAGACAGATCTGGGATGCAAACCCAGGCTCTACACTCTGTACAAAGCCACCTGCTTCTCTACCACGTGGCTAAATCTCCACTGGTGTTGGGACACTGGTGGATAGAGGCCTGAAGGGCAGTCTTATTTTCCTGCCCAAGGGTGAGCTAACTGGGACTTCACACTCAGGAATCAGAATGGGCTTCAAGGCCAACAAGACTCAGCTTCAAGGTCAACAAATGCCCAGCCCCAGAACAATCTGCAGAGGATACAGGGAACTAGGGTTTAGAAGATCAGACAGAGACCACCGCACACTCAAGCCCAGCCATGGAGTGCCTCAAATCCAAGGAATGAGGTCTTGGCACGTGTACCATGCTGGCGTTAGCTCTTTCACCTCTCCATCCCAGGTTTGGAGGAGCTGAAAGCGTCCCCTGACATTTGTTCCCTAAGGGAGGCATGAGTGCTGTGGTGGGTGGGGAGGAACTCTCCCCGACTCTGGGGGCTCCAGGAGAAAAAGTGAGAGCCCATCACTCTGTACAAGGTTAGACCTAATTGTGGAGTCAGGGATTAAGGGGACAACCAGAAACTTTTATGAAAGAACCAGGGAGTTTGCATATGGGTAGGGTTCTTTGAAAGGAGGGAGGAGGCCACAGTCTCTCAGTGCCCTGATTGGGAGCCACACGGAGGGGCTGTCATTCAGGCTTCTCTATCCTCTACCCCACCTTCCTCCATTTCAGCATCACCACCAAGAGCATGTCCAGGTACCGGGGTCAGGAGCACTGCCTGCACCCCAAGCTGCAGAGCACCAAGCGGTTCATCAAATGGTACAACGCCTGGAATGAGAAGCGCAGGTATGGCCCACCGCCCCTCACCTTCCTTCCCACCATCCTACCAAATCCAGATCCTCAACTCCCTCCAGGTCATCTAGCCCTTTTAAGGCATGAACACCCACCACAGTTGTCACAGTAGGCAGATACCCAGACGCTGCTGACACACTCCCAGGGACAAGGAACTCACCACTTAGTGCTACACTTACTGCTCTCTTGGACAGCTGTAAGCATCGAAAATTGATCCTTTAGTGAACTAAAGTTTGTCTCGTTCTATTGTGATATATGATAGCCTTAATTCCTCTCCTTATTTAAGTAACTTAAGTTTTCTGACCCCTGTCAGACAGCTGGATGGGCACCTGGCATGGATCTCTCAGTGATTTGTGTGGTTTGGTGAAACACAATTGCTTAAGGTTCATTAACTCTAAAACTGGCTACAACCACAAGATGATGAGGTTAACTCCTTGCCAACCACACCGTCTTCCCTCAAGGTGCCCCACATGCCCCCCTGCTGCCCAGAAACCTGATAAACTCCTTCTGCTGCAGGTGCAGGGAGGGACCTTGGGCTTGACCCTTTAAAATCAGAGCCACTCTTACCCTAGGGGGCAGCAACGGCCAGATGACCAGAGCCCTGAAACAGATGTCTGCCCTCTCCGGGCTGTTTCCCCATTTTCAGAAAAGAGCTTTCAGAGTCAGATCTTCCAGGCTCTGATCTCCTAGGGTCCCATGTCTGGCCTCAAAAGGCAGACAACTTCCCGGCTCCCCTGTGTTTCCTAAAGGTGAGCCTGTCCTGGAGCAGACCTGCCTCTCACACACTCAGAGCCTGTTTACACTGTGTTCACAGAGCATGATTAGGGAAGCGTGCACACACAGGTACACATGTGCATGCACACACACAAACACGCGCACACACACACACACACAGAGGTGAGTTCCTCTGGAGCTGGTGCCTGCACCTCATCCCACAGCGGGGCTCAGTGGGGGTGGGGAGTGACTCGCCTGGGAACACAAGTCAGGAAGCTAGGTCTCCTGGTGTCACCTTCCCCTCTACAATGGTGCCAGCCCCACCCTCCCACCCCAATTCCACCTACCAGCAGGCCCTTCCAGCCTAAGCTCTGCCCATGACCTCTCCCATATCTGACGCTTGGGCCCATCCCCAGTACCTGGGCCTTTTGTGCTGCTCCAAAACTGCCTCATCTGCAGTTGCTTGAAATAGAAAGTGATGAGAGAGAGAGGTTATTTTCTACAAAATCTGATGAGAATGAAGCCCTCTTTCTGGTCAGGGCAGGCAGCTCACATGACGCACACAGTACATGTCCTGTCCAGTCACCCTCCGGGCCCTGCGTCATCGAAAGTGGAACGAGGCTACCGCAGGGCCAGTTCACAGAAGCGCTAGCAAGTCTTCGTCATGTTGCTGGGAGATTCAGGCTTTTGTGCACTTTGTCCCCTACCCCTCCACCTAGGGCCACAGCTTTGAGGGAAAGGGGGCAGGTCTGGCCCATGCAGCCCTGCTCTTTTTGTTCCTGCAGATTCCATGGATGAGAGCATAAGGGCACCTCTGCTCCCAGGCCTCCCATCACTTCCTTACAAAATGAGTTCACCCCTCCTTCCTAGCTTCCCAGGGGGCACTAATGGTAAAGAACCTGCCCACCAATGCAGGAGACACAAGAGACGTGGGTACAATCCCTGGGTCGGGAAGATCCCCTGGAAGAGGGCATGGAAACCCACTCCAGTAGTCTTGCCTGGAGAATCGCATGGACAAAGGAGTCTGGTGGGCGACAATCCATGGGGTCACAAAGAGTCAGACATGACTGAAGCGACTTAGCACCACGTGCCCTCGTTCCTAGAATGTCGAGGTGTCCTGGAAAGGGATGTGGGCATTTCCTTGTCCTCCTCGCCTCCCCTTCCTCTATCTATAAAGGTTGAAAATGTCTCCTTGGAGACAAAGGAACTCTCTCTTTTTTTCTTGGCCACACTGCACTGCATGTGGAATCTTAGTTCCCCCATCAGGAATCATACCTGCATCCCTTGCATTGGAAGTACAGAATCTTAACCACTGGACTGCCAGGGAAGTCCCAATAAAGGAACTATCTTGAAGTCATCTTTGCAGAGAGAGACAGAGAATACTGAACCTCGAAGAGAGGCAGGGGAAGGAAGCAGCCAAGCCAGGCTATGGGCAAGACTAGAGAGCTCCCAGAAACTCAGAGCCCAGAGCCTTCACTGCCACCAGAAGCAGAAGAATCAGGCATTTGATTTCAGTGCATAATTACTCAGAAATCAGAAACAAGGCAGAGGGAGCGATGGACTCTCTGAATGTGACACGTGGCCCCACGGCAGGCAGCCATGAGGCAGGAGGGAAGGAATTTAAGGACCTAAACAGAGCCGGCTGGGGAGGTGAGGGGGAAAGGCAGCTTGGGAGTGCCTGCAGGCCTGATAACTGCTAGAGGAAGTGACCTGGTGCCCCGGGTCTCCGTGACAGCTGCAGCCCCACCAACCATCCTTGGGTCTGAGGCACTGCCTTCTAGAACTGGGATTTTCTTTTTCTTTTTTCTGGAGGACACGTATTATTGGACAAAACACAAAGATACAAGCCTAAATGGAGGGAGGGGGTGCCTCCATCCCCTCCCCTCTGCATCCACACTGGAGACAGATGTCATTCCCACCACTGACATGCAGTGTGCGTCGGGCTGACTTTAAGTCTCCTGCACCTGGTCTCCTCATACACCAGGGTGGTTTGCTTCCTAGAGCTTTAAGGATAAAAAGAAACTGCAGAGGTGGAGGCTGTTTAGAAAGGTCAAAGCCGGGTTTGGAGGAGCTTTCATGGCCATGTGAGGGCCTCCTCTGTGATGTCCCTGCTTCTCCCTGGCTCCTGCGGTCCTGGGAGAGGCACTCCCCAGGCCAGGTGCAGAGCAGCTCAGACACCAGCCTGTGTGTTACCTGCCTCATGTCCTGAGCCACTGACATGGGTGTTTTCTCTTCCCAGGGTCTACGAAGAATAGGGTGAAAAATCCTTAACAGGAAAACTTCACACCAGTTGGGAACAAGCAAAGGACTTTGCAGATTCAAAAAACAAACCCTTTCTTTCTCACAGGCATAAGACACAAATTAAATATTGTTACAAAGCACTTTTTACCGAGGGTCAGTTTTTACATTTTATAGCTGTGTGCAAAAGGCTTCCAGATGTGAGATCCTTCTTTCGCGCTCCAGATTTCATCACAAGCCGCCTTTTACTGAAAAGTGGGGAAACTCATGCCTTTCCTTTGTATTTTTTAAAAAAAAAAAGCTTTTTTTTTTTTTTGTATTTGTCCAGACATCACTGTACATCTGAGCTTTATAAGCACCTGGGAGGAACAGGGAACTTGGTTGAGACATTTCATAACAGCATCGCTCCCTTCCTAGTGCAGAAAGCTTCCGCTCAGAAGTCCTGGCGCCTCGGCACAGCGGCCACGAGCTCTCCTGGGCTCACGGCTGGTCACAGCCTTGGGGGGATTCGGCAGTGGCCCCAGTCACAGGGCAAGCCAGAGTGGATTTCTCTGCATCTGCTCTTTGACAAACTCGAGTTTGGCTGTCAGAGAAATATGCTTCATCCCTGTGGTTAATTTTTACACATCCTTAAAAACATTTCCAAGATCCTCAGATGGTGAAGCAGATAGATGGTCCTTAAGGAAGTGGTTGGGTCTTCTCTCCAACATGAGCATTTGTGAAAAATTCACCACTTCAATCTTTAATGTTTTGAAAGCCCCTGAAAATCTTAGGGGAAAATCAGTGAAAATCTTAGAAGAAAACTTAAATCTATACAAATACACACACAATATACAACTACAGACACACATGCTGTTGATGAGTCAGAGCCTTCAAAGCCTGTTTCTTTCCCTCTCGACTATGGAACATGCAATACTAAAGCAATCTCTCTGTGATTCCCCATGTAACCCCTCAGTGTTAAACAGTGCAGTCTTCTTCTGGTGCAGTCCTCTTTAAGATGACCACATGCCCTTCCCTTTGTAAATATACTGTTAGGAAGGCGAGCCCTAAGTGGGCCCCTTCAGTATACGCCGCATTGCTCTATGGTGTCATATGCTATATAAATGTCAGGAACCATTAGCATTGCATGCAGGTTTGATATTCTTTCTAAGACAAAAAGAAAAGTAATAAAATATATTTGAAATGTACCAAACTTCTAGAGTACTGACTTTTTTTTCTATTTAATTAAGGCAGGATGACAATCAAATGTTTACTACATCCTGAATAAACAGGGACAAAGTTACTGGGAAGGAAACTGGTGTTTCCCAGATACCAGTCAGCACTGTCACCACTATGGAATGTCCTGAAGACAGAAAGCCAGGTCTCAAGGCTGTTGATTCTTCCCTGCCTGACTCCCACACCTGGGTCAGGTTCATCAGAATAGAACTGTAGGGTCAATTTAATGTTCCCACGTAGGGGAGGGAACAGAAAGGGGACCAGTTAGGGGCCCTGTGGCCCAGGGCCCCAGGATTCTAGTGGGACTCAGGAAAAGGCAAGAAATGCCCACCTGGGGGCCCCAGGGCTCCAGGACCAGGCTGTGTGGGAGCCACAGCCAGAGAGATGTTGGGGGTCCCTTTCTGCTCCGGCAGGATGGAGATGATCTGTGCACACACCTCACGGTGCTTCTGGAAACTGAAGGCGGCAATCCACGGGAAGCACTCAGGATGCCAGGGCATGGTGAACACTCACTTGGTAAACGTAAGCTCCTTTAACATCCACAAGACCAGGCCACTTTGTGTTCTGCACAAACTGTCCACGGCCCCACACCTCATGTATCCCGGTCAGCCAGGCCCTGAAACAGGCCCCTCTGTGCCCACCTGGACACCCACTCTCCACAGGACTGCCCAAGGGAACATGCCTGGCTCTGCAGTTTCTGTCCGCCTCACCAGGAGCCAGGCACCCATGTCTCTCCACCTCTGAGGATGGCTTCCCGGCTCTGCCAGCACTTAACAAGGACCCACAGCAAGGACCCTGCCCGAGCACCTCCTCAGCAGGGTGCTACTGCCTCCTTTCTGTCGTCTCCTGGCACTACCAAGTCCCACCAAGAGCGAGCCTGACAAAACTAAGGCCCAGAGAAGTTACAGAAGCTGTCCAGGGTCAGCCCTCACACCACTCCCAACGGCTGGCAGTCTCTTTGCTAAGAGAAGCAGGACAGGGTGGGCCAAGGCCACTCTGGGCAGGGTGACCGTGAATGCCTGGTGTGGTCCTGCTCTCCCTTCCTTATGGGGAAAGAAGGGAGACTAGACAGGGAAGCCGCGGCACCAACAGGCAGAACAGAGGAGCTGCAGTGTGAGGGCAGGGGAGAGCAGAGGCCGGGTCCCTCTCCCCTAGGAGCTCTGAGACCTGCTTGACCCCAGATCAGCACAACGTGCTGGGGTGGGGCCTCACCAGGACAGGGCCCCCATAAGAAACTCGACTGCAGGATCCTCCCTGGCCTCCCCCAAATCCCACCCTTCTCAAGCCCAGCCCTGCCAATGCAAAGGCCTCTCCACCTGACGGCAGACGACCGGGGGTGTAAGATTCTTGGTGCCAATCCCTGAGTTGCAAATTTTGCCCTCCACTCACTCTAGACACACACCTCCCCACCTGAGTTCAGGGTTCTACTTTATCCCAGCATCTCTTCCTCCAGCCCTCCTGGTCCATGAGTCCTGTCCCTTCTCCAACCTCGCAAGTCACCAACTGGCTTCTTAATAACAGTGACAAAGTCCCCCGACAGGAGGTCAAGCAGTAGCCCGAGGCATTTGCCCTGCTGCTCATTCTCCACCCTCCCAGCAGTGCTGTGTTGAAGGTGTCCAGACAAGGGACACAATTTGCATGAGAAACACAGATAGTAAGAGTGAGAAGAGCTGGACTTCAAGCTCCAGGGTGTCAGCAGAAGGAGCGGAGGTCTTATGGGCAAACATCTCATACCCTGCAGGGACTGTGTGTCCCTGGAGAACGGAGGTTGGGGGTGCTTCGTGGATGACCTGGACCCTGTCCTCCAACAGACAGGTACCAGCTGGGCCACTACAAATGGGCTCTCAGTCCCAAACTTTGCCAAACATCAAGAGGGCCCCGCAATGCCAGGAACTGTGCTTGGCTCCAAGGAAATCACCCTTTTCCCCACTTATAGAACTGCTTCTCATTGTTTTTCTTCTCTGAGCTTCCCAGTAGCTTTATGAGCATCCACTCACTGCATTCCAGAAAGGAGGGTAACTCTAGTGCAGCAAAGCAAAGACAGGCTGCCTTCTAAGGGGCTCTCCTGGGCCTCCCTGGGGAGGCATGAACACGCTCCTCTGCCCACAGGCAGACCAGGTCCCACACAGGCCCCACCTCCAGAGCCACACTGCTTCCTCACACATGGGCATACTTCGGGATCCAAACACCAGGTCCTGGACCCCCCACTCTTCCCACAGACAGGCCCTGAGCAGGTACACAGTGCTGCCCCAGACCTGACACTAGGACGACTGCATCCTTAGGGAGCTCCAGCCCAGTTCTGCTGCTCATCTCCACCCAGCCACACCTCCCTCACAGAACTTTTCCTGATCACCTTGGACCTGCAGCCAGAACCACCTACATAACTGGGGTCGGGACCAGCTACACAACTGCAAGCCTGGTACAAAATAAGATGCAAGGCCCTCTGTTCAAATTTTAAGAATTTCAAGATGGCAACAGCAGAGCATGAAGCCCCAGCACAGGGCTCTGTGTAGCTCTCACACCGCAAGCCCATGGCACCTGTCTTACCACTTAGGTATCAACTTTAGCAGCCATCTGGATGGCCCATTTGGGTCCTGAGTTATTACATGACTTTTAATACAATTTAATGCCTTTATTTGAACTTGAACAGCTAACAAGACAGTCTTAGACGCCAGGGACTATATCTTACACCTCTTTGTAAAAATCTCCCAGAACCTATGATAGCTCTTTGGACGTACTCAAACACCAGGAATTAATCTTAGTTTTAGAGAGTCCCCTAAGAACATGCTTTCTGCACTCACTCACGGAGCCACCACTGCATGCAAAGCCCTGTGCTAAGGGGAGCCAAGTCTTGGCGAGACCCTCACCCTCAAGGGCAGAGTGCATCATTCATGAGCCAGCCACTGCTCCATTATGAGGTATTTGCTATGTGTCACCAACTGCTGGATGCTGGGGATGACCCCTCTAGAAACAACAGGTCCACAATAGAGACAAAGAAGCTGCTGAAATTTCCTGTCAGTCTAACATTAAGCCAGAGGGCTGCACAGCAGGCTCTAGGGACACCCCAAAGAGGTGTCCCACCCAGTCTCAGAGAGGGGGCCCCCTCTGACGAAGGTCTATCAATCTGGAGCAGGCTCCTGGCAAATAGTAAGTTGTTCTCAGGCAATGGCAGGAAGTCCTGACCCCATCCTGTCCCTGGGTCCTGCCCATGACTCCTGGGTCCGTGTGCGATGAGACAGGCCAGCAGAGACAGAGCTCTGGGGCCAGAAGAGGAGATGTGAGGGAATTCACAGGGGCCTCAGGAACGCCAGCCACGCCCCAGGTGAGCGTCCAGGGAAGCCAGGCACAGCTCCAACCTCCGCTCCCAGCTCATCTCTCTCCCTTCCTCTCCCTCTTCTTCACCTCCTATCTGGCCTGCCAGGGAACCACGGCTGGGCCCTCCCCAACTTCACTGGCGAGGAAGCCCACCACAGATTTTCTGCTCAGTCTCCCACGTGAAGAAGACACCATACTGCTTTTAGAGCCCTCCCCTGTGCTCCTGTTTTTGAAAAGTTGAATAGATAATCTTGGAGGTCATTAAGGACGCAATAAAACCTAAAGCTTTTTTTTTTTACTCTTAAGGGACTTCCCTGCTGGTCCCAGCGGTTAAGACAACACATGATGGAGGGGGGCTGGGTTCCATCCCTGGTCAGGGAACTAGATCCCACCTGCTGCAACTAAGACCTGGTGCAGCCCAATAAATAAATAAAAACAAATATTGATAATAATGTGTTAAGGTAACATCTCCCAGCTTCCTCCACAC